TCTCTCTCTCTCTTTCTCTCTCTCTCTCCACACAGGCAGCAGGAGGGAGGGAGTGGGGGTGGGGAAAGGAACATCAGATGACACAGCAAGAGAGAAATACACCCAAGCTTCTCTACCGTCGCCAGGGGAAATATCTCAGAAAAGAGAAGCAGCTGGTAGATCTCAACAGATTCTCCATATTTTGTCCTTTTAAAAATTTAAACTCTGAGCATACAGCCCCCTTTGCAAGTGCAATCTCTCACCATTGTTGTTCTTTCGGGCAGAGATCGGCCTTTCTTATTTCTTGGTTTATCTCCAGGGTGGCTGATGATTCATCTTCTTTTTTTTTTTTTTCCTTCTTGCGTGAGCCTAATTAGTGTCAGGTTTCTTATAGGAATCCTGGAAAAAGACAAACAATGTAAGAACAGGGAGGTGATAGAACCCACCTTAACTCTGATGTCATTGTTTGGCTTGTTTCCAAGTTTGAAAGAGAAATTTCGATAGTTATTTTGGAACTGGGTTGGGTGTAGTCTTCATGCATGTGGTGACTGGTGTGACCCCCACAGCACAGTCGCCCACAGGTAACTGCAATCACGTCTCAGACAAGGCCTTCGGGAAACGGTCTGCTTTTTCTTCCTTGTTTGGTGGCTCTCCCACCTCCCCCAGCAGCTTCCCTCCCTTTCCAGATCCTCAGTGTGCTCCTTCATCCTCAGAGAAAGAACCTCCTTATTTACCATAAAACACCTCTCTCTCTACTTGAATCCATCCCCCTTTTCTTTCTGTTTCTGGAGAATGTTCTCATCCTTCCAAAGCAGATTCCTCCATTGGAGTTTCTGCTCTGGGGACAGGGTGCCCATAGTGGTGCTCCTTGTGGTCGGCAGAATAATGCCATCCAAAAGATGTCGGTGTCCTGATCTCTGGAACCTGTGAATATGTTACTTTACATAACAAAAGGGACTTTGCAGATATGATTAAATCCTTAGATAGACAATTATCCTGGATTTCCTGAGTGGGCCCAACATAAAACGCAGGGGTCCTTATGTAAAGAGAGAGGGAGGCAGGAGGATCAGAGTCAGAAAAGGGGATTTGGTGACCAAAGCACAGGTCAGAGTGATGCAGGCCCATGAGCCAAAGAATGCAGGACACCTCTCTATGCGGGGAAAGGTAAGGAAAAGGATTCTCCTCTCTAGCCTCCAGAGGAAAGCAACCCTGCAGACGCAGACACGTTGATTTTAGCCCAGTGAAACTCATTTTGGATTTCTGACCTCCAGAATCTTAAAATAATAAGTTTGTGTTGTTTTTAAGCCACAAAATTTGTGGCAAATTGTTATAGCTTCAAAAGGAAACTAAAGCATTCCACCCCCAAAGTTTTTCCCGTCCCTTTCTGTGAGTTCAGGGGAGGCGGAAGATATATATAGATGAGTGCAACCAACAAGTAGAAAGTGGGATTAAAAAATCTCAGAGATGAAGACAATGAAGCTGTTTACTACATCATTTGATAATAAAGTTGATGAATTAAAATCGATGAATGAAAAAAGTACCTTTTTCTAAGCTAACCAGTACTTGGTGAGTGCCACAAGGTGGTGGCGTTCTATCCTGGATTGTAGCAAACTGACCCAATCAGATCTTTCAGAAAATACAAAAAAACAAGTCAGTGTTTCTCAAATTTGAAGAATGTACAGATTCTCTTAACAGAATAACTTAATGTTGAAATTATTTAAAAGATTCTATTATTATTTGTACCAATATGTACTAATATAAAAATAAGAATATACTTCTTGTGCTTACAGTAATGATACAACATGAATTTAAAAATGCATGTATTTTTAAAACTCTATAAAACCAACAAATAGAGTTCAAATTAACAATACGCTTATGTGGTACATAGTGTTTTGCTGAACCTAAATTGCTGCTTGCAACATGAATATGGTACTGACTTCTGGGTTTTTTTGAGTTTGTGGTACTCTTCTATGATAAGCTTTGGGAAGTGACACAATTTCCTCAACATTTGATCCATTCTAATTCTTAACATAAGTTTTACTCATATGGCCTGTTATGATTTCATTTGGGCTTCATGTGATACTCATGCATCATTTACTGCTTAGTATGATCTGAATGTTTGTGTCCCTCCAAGATTCATGTGTTGAAATCCTAACACCCAAGGTGATGGTATTAGGAGATGGGGACTTTGGGAGGTGATTAGGTCATGAGTGCAGAACCCTCACGAAGGGGATTAGTGCCCTTATAAAAGAGGTCTGAGAGAAACCCCTCACCGCTTCTGCCATGAGATGTTTCTATGAGAAGATGGCCTTCTATGAGGAATTGGGCCCTCACCAGACACTGAATCTGCCGGCACCTTGATTTGGACTTTGTAGCCTTGAGAACTGTAAAAAATACATTTCTGTTTATAAACTACTCAGTCTACAGTATTTTGTTATCACAGCCTGAACAGACTAAAACAGTGTTCTTTCTCATTTTCCTGCAACTACTAAAGTAGTGCTACTTGCCCGTAGCTTGAATAAATATACACATAACAGTTGAGGCACCAAAATGACAGTTACATGGTGGCTATCCAGAAGATCCAGAATAGGCATATGCATTTTCAGTTATAATTGAAATGAATACAAACACATAAAACTGTGGCTCTCAAGAATCCATGTGTGGCCTGATAGGGGCCCAAAACACTAGGGTAGGTTAATTAAGAAGACAAATTCACAGAACTCAATGTAAAATCAACCTTAATTGAGCACAAATTATACTTCTAAGCCTTTGAGCTATTATAAGGAATACATTTTTTAAGATAACATTTTAATTTTTATGTAAATATTACAGAAAAATAATTTAAAAAGTCAAACAATGCTAAAAAGCTGATCCCAAGAAACAATAATCCCTTGTCCCGCCCACCTTCTTCCAACCTTGTCATGCTCTCCTGATATAATAACATTAAATCCTTGTAGATATTTTTTTTGAGATTTATGGTCTTGTTTGTAAATAAAATGCCTATATTGCTGTCTATACACTCATCAATTTTTTTTTATTTTTATTA